ATAGTCCTACATGTGTTACGTATCCACCTTTATATATACATATATATACATCTATTACATGTATTACCACGCTAAAATTACGTTTCGTTGGTTATGAACTCACGAAACTTCTTGGGATAACGTTGAGCGTACTAAAACACGATCTTTTCTTCTTGCTTTTTCTCTCTCTATCTATCTATCTTTTTTTATTTTTGGCAAAAAGAAATAAAACGAGAAAATATACACGTAGCGTATAAAACGATCTCATCGAAATCGAACGAATATTTGTAAATAATGTCACATCGAATCGATCGTGCAGAGAATTTGGAAATATTTGATAGAAGTGATATGTATTCGTATTAAATAGAATATGAAATAGAAAAACCCCGTGAAAAGTCTTTTTATTCAAAATAAATAAATCCTCTATTAAAAAAAAAAAAACTTACTCTATGAAATCGTAAATTCTTATATATATATATCAAATTTCTGTCCTATCGCCGACAAAATAAAATTATTGTGTTATTTTAAATAAAAATGTATGATACACCTAGTGCTGTTTATTTTATCCGAATATTACGCGTTGCTACAACAAAAAAAACGTAAGTGTCTTTGCGTAAAATTTAATTGACTTCATTTTTATAAATAATAAAATAAAATAGTACCATTGTGTGTGTGTGTGGTAATAATATTTTATTGAATATATCAAATTTATAAAACATAAGTCGTTATATTGACTATACTTAAATATACATTTTTCACATGAAAAAAAAAATAAAAATATATAAGATTACGAACGACACGACAATAAATTATACAATATTATAACACATTTTATAATTTTTTAAGCGAATTAAATCAACGAATAAATAATTCACACATGACAGATAGATACCGTCTGGAGTATCTTATCAAACACAACGCAAACTCGGAGTGATTCACTTTTATTTCTTTGACCACGAAAGAAAACGACCACGAAAAAACAAAGATAAGAAAAGAAAGGAATGGAAAGGAATGGTAAAAAAAGAAAAGAAAAGCGTGAGAATTTCCAAATAGGAGGTAGAATCTTTAGATGTGGGTGCATACGCAATGCGGATTGCCGTTGAAAGTCTGGAGTCTTTCTCTTGTTTAAAAAAAAAAAAAACAAAAAGCCTGGAGGCGGTAGATACACTCGTGGGAGTGGAAGTAGGAGTAGAAGTAGTGGAAGAAGAGAGAGGATAGGGGTGGATAGGGGTGGATAGGGGTAGATAGGGAAGAAGGCAGGCAGGAAGGGTGAACTTAAGGAGTTGAAACTGAAGGGGTTGAGAGAAACGAAGAGGAGAGAAGTCGTCCCTGGACTCCCCTATCTTTTCGCGTGCTTTACACGACCGGCTCATTTATCAACCTGCCTTCCATTAATATCCGACAAAATACTAGAGGGGTGCGACATCCCATAGAGAAGTCATGCTCATCCGCCAGGTACTTCCTACTGAAATAACACGTTCATGTCTCTTTGCTCACGTATTACCCATACACCCCATACAGCGTAAAACTTACGTCATCTGTCGGCCCTTTGCAAATACGCAAAAGTTATTCCTCAAACTTTTATATTTTCAGATCATTTTAAATAACTTTCGTATCGATTACCGGTGGGTTAATAAACTTGTTTTATTTGACCGATATTTCATTATTCTTCTTCATTTATTTACAATTATTTCAATTAGATCGTAAACGTTTTATATCCTTTTTTTTCCTTTTTCTTCTTCTTCTTCTTCTTCTTCTTCTTTGATCACTCTCTCTCTCTTTTTCTTTTTTTCTTGTTATATTTTATATTATATTTAGAGAAAATGTAATATAAAATTGATTATATATGTCATTTTGAAGTTCCACCTTAGATCTTGCTAATTGAATTTTTTAAAGGCGTTCTAAACACGGATTTTTATTACCTTTGGAATGATATATCACAAGATAGAAAAGGGTGCTATTAAAAATTTCACAAAATTCGTTTAGCTTGGGCAAAAGTAGTAGTAGTAGTAGTAAAACTTAAAATTTTATTTAATATTGGTTTTCAATTTGTTCTTACGATGTATAAATTTTATTTGAAAAATCGTTATTACTTGGAATGAAGTGTTATTTGGGTTAGCAAGTTTTAAAAAGGAAAACACTATGTTTGTACAATATATATATATATATTTATATATAAGCTAATTTTATTCTATTCGATTTAGGATTCCTTTTCTCGGTTTCCCCAAATAACATAAAAATGAGTTTCTCGAATAAAAGTAGAATGGCTTTCCGACCGATTCTTCCTAACGTCGTTTCTAAAGGAAGTCTATTTTTACAGGGAACAAAACAAGGATCTCGTTGATCCGAACACACCCTTAGAAATGAGACTGCAAAAATAGTCGCGAGGAACGAAAAACTCACTCGCCTGGAACTCCCCTTTCGAGTTATTTTCACAGTCTTTCACTGAACTTTCGTTCGGTTTCTTTTTTTTTATCATCCCTCGCATTTCTTCCTTTACTCTTTCTTTCTGTCATTCTATTCTTTCTGTTCTTCCTTTCTTTCTTTCTCTCGGACCCCTCCAAAAACTCTTTTTCCCCTTTCCTTTAATTTTTTGTTTTTTTTTACAATATTTTACACAACCTTTCGAAATATTAGTCTAGAATGTTTTAGTCTTAAATTCGAGGGTAATCACGCGGGGTATCATTCGATGATTCATAGCACTCTCTTTCTGATTTGTCAAGACAATTAATAAGTAATATACTAATCTGAATATTTAATATGTTTTTATACCCTACGATATAATTCATCCGTTTATTTCGTATTCCCCATTTTCCAAGTTAATCAAATTCACAGTTGAATTTTCATGGCTTCATTTGATCTTAAATAATCAGCGTATTGAATAATTCAACTTTCTTTATTCTAATAATTTACTTGATAACATCCATAACTAAATAAATACAAATTCTATTCGATGATATTTCAAAACGTTGCTTTAATATTTTACCATACAAGAATATTTCATTATACATATATATATATATATATCTTTCAAACTCGTTTATATTTAATTATAATACAGAAATAAAAATGATGTTCTTTTAGTATAATCAATTATAAACAAACAAATCATTCTTATTGTTAGATATTTACTATTTCAATTGATATTTAACAATACAATTTTTAGATGTATAATAATGAATACGTTCGTGGTTAAACTATCTAATGGATAAATGAAAAAACGGTATAGTTGTGAATAATTAAATGGTATGGATCGATTAGAAAGTAAGCGAATAGGTATATTTTTCTTAATAGCTAGCTCGTCTCGATACTAGCAAGTAATTAAAGTTTCCTACCCTTAGCGTCATTTTATTTACTTGCTAATCGAGGAGCTAACTTTCATCGTCGTTTTATTGCGAGCTTAACTCTTTCAGTTCTTTTTAATGCGGTAATTAATCTTGGATCACTTCGACGTATATCGCGTTTGACCGTCATGCTATCCTTTTACTTCTACCCTTCTTCTATCACACTCTCTCTCCCTCTTTCTCTTTATCTATCTATCTATCCATCTATCTCTATCTCTCTTTTCAAAATTGCATTAAGGTTTTGCACGTAATTTGAGCTAGACGGTCTAACGAAATGACGGGCACTTTATTGTCCGAAGAATTTCATATCTTCTTCCTGGTGACACGACAAAAAAAAAAATGTACATTAGATATTGTCCAATATTATATCTACAGGTGGTGGATGACACGATTTTAATGAAATATTATATCTATTTTTTTGTTTCTATATTAAATATTAAAGTAAATTCTATTATACGTATATACGAATATATGATTATTATTTAAATATTATATTTGAATAAATAATAAATTATTGTATTTATCATCGTACACGCGCGAATGGAAGTGGGTTGAAAATTTTTGAACAGAAACAATTTTCATTTCTTTTTTTCTTTTTTTTTTTTTATCAAACTCTCACTTTTATTAAAAAAGTAAAAAATAATACGTTTCCTCGTAATATTTGATTTATCGTTTTATTATTCTTTTTAATATGATATGTGTTAAAGTATTATAATAATAAGTTTCTATTGGTTTATTTAAAATAACATGAAAATGCATAATTTCTAATAACATTCATTGTTTCTTCCCACGTCGGTATAATATAAATTAGTTAATAAAATTAAAATTTGTTTGTGGTTAACAACGAGCATCTCCTATCCAGAATATTCGTAAGAAATTCTTTCGGCATACCGGCACTAAATATTATTTAGAATTATTACATCTCTCTACAGTTTTCATATCTTCCACTCCCTCTACGGTCAAATATTCGAAAACTTTGCGAGTCTCTCCAGGGACAAAGAAATCTGTACCACCATATTTTTTTCTCTCTCTCTCTCTCTCTCTCTCTTTTTCTGCATGATCCTTGACTTATAATTTTCCGCATGGGGGAAAGAAAGAAGAAGAAGAAGAAGAAGAAGAAAAAGAAAAAAAAGAAACGATTGTAGATTAAAATCGCCCATGAGAGAGATGAAACAAGAGAAAAGTAAATTCTTCAAATGAATTTATTTTCCGTGTCGTTTGAACGGATTAAAATTAAATTAAACATAAGGTTCTAAATATTTTTCTCTCTTAACAAAAAAAAGAATTAATTTTTCATTTTTCCAATTATGAGAGATTAAATTGTCATCTTATTTTCTCTCTCTCTCTCTCTCTCTCTCTCTCTCTCTCTCTCTCTTTCACTTTTTATTGTTATGTTGTTTTGTTCGCGGAATAAATTAAAAAAAAAAAAATCCAACATAAATATAGAACTTGGTAACATTTGTTAAAACCTTAATTCAAATATTTCTCCCGATACCGATAAAAATAATATCACCAATATTTTTTTGATTTCATTCCAAACCTACAAGCCATCGAAAAACAATTTCATCGTGATCCCAACCTTACGAGTCGATAAAAACAAAATAAAACAAACAAACAAATAACGATCATATTGAACAAACACCTGATTATAATTTTGATATAACCTTAAATATAAAAATGAATAACCATGTGATATCTTGTTATATTATAATAAATTCATTAATAATTTTATTGATTGTAAAACGTGTTGATCAAGTTGAAAGTATTACGACAATAATAATAAGTACAACTGAGATAGAATTTGAAAATGAAAAAGAAGATAATATTGAAATAGGTCCGATACCAACTACGGAAGAAATTATGCAACATAATATAAGTATAGTTGATATACCGGACGTTGACGATGTTAGCTCGTCTCCTGAAGCAAACTGGGACGCGAAGGAAGTTATAAAGGACGTGGCATACTTCATTCGAGCTCATAAGTTTAAGGTAACGTCTCCTATAAGCTATTTCGTTTAAGTCGCTTTTATGGAAAGACGTCACGGAAGGTACTACAACTTGCCTTGTATTCAAACCATTTGAAATAGTTAATTAGAAAAGGGACTCGTGAAACGAACTTTCATCCTAACAGCTCTCTCTCTCTTTCTTTCTCTCTCTCTCTCTCTCTCTCTCTCTCTCTCTGTTCATATTTTATTTCCAGTTATTCTTAACGTGAAACATCTTTGAAAACATCTTTGAGAAAAATTCCCTTTGATCTATTACACTCGTGTAACTCTTAATTTTTATCTATAAAAGAAAGAAAAAAAAAATACATCCGAAACAAGATTTCATCTTCAAAGTTTATTCCAATTTTTTTGTTGACGCGAAAGAATCGTTAACATTATTTGTCACATATTTATTATATATTATATAACTTACAAAAAAAAAAATACTGTATATTCTTTTCTCCATTTTATTTTATATAATTATTACGATATTTATCTAATATTACGCGAGAAAGTGAGTTGAATTTTTATATTTGTTTGAAATAAAAGTGATCGATTGGACTAAGAGTTTCTATGTTAGAATCAAAACTTTTTAACCCACCCATGTACACCTATTTTATTAAACATTTACCTTTAATATTTCTAATAATTTAATTTATTCATATAAATCTTGTTCAATCGTCGCAATTAAAAACGACAATTATTTCTAATCTAAAAAAAAATCAATACTAGAAAATTGATTTCTTTTTGTTTTTTTTCAACCAACTTCTCTCGAATAATTATATTCGAATTAATTTATCTCCCCGTTATGGTAAAATAATTTTTGATTTTTACTTCGCCGATTTGGGGGAGAAGAAGGGGAATATTTTTTTGTTTTTTTTCAAGGATTACGATCGACGATATTACAAGAGCATCGAGGAAGTTCGTAGTCATTTGTATGAGGAATTTCCGAATCCAACATTGAGATCTGTACACTGGGAGGTACGCAAATACTGCGATGCGAGCTTTGTCGAGTGCTTGAAATATCTCGGAAGGATCATTAAGCTCACTGGCCTGAGGCGCAAAGACGACACCGTCACGGTCATGAAAGAACAGAAGTGGAGTCTAGCAAACAATACCGAGCAGATTTTAGCCGTTCAAAGAGACTGTGTGGAGACCCAGAGGCACGACAATCAAACCATGCATCCCTTTCAAGGCCCAATCGGCAAGTTATCGGATAACTTTTATATTATAAATTTAACTAATCTCGTCTTAATTATACTATTTTATATGAAACTTTATCTCATCGTATTCACAAATATTTGTTTCTTGGATTTCTTACTTTCTTCATTAAAATGACTCTGGTAGAAAAAAAACATTGACACGAAAGATTTTTTATTCTTTTTATTAAACTTATAAAACAACATATAGTGTTCTCGTTAAGCGTTTAAAATATTAATACACGATTTTATCCCGAGTTACAATTTACCTTGAACTACAATTCTCATTTGGATTTAACGATCTTAGTTAATAAGAAGAAAACTAAATAAAGAATGTTTTTTCTCTCTTTTGTCTTATTTATTATTAAATCTTAATAAGAAAAATCAACAGAGAAGGATTCTAAGAAAGAACGTAACCTAATTTTCGAATGGTTTAAAAAGATTTGAAAAATTATTTATTCAAAAATCAATGATCACATTTTTCATGAATTATCAGATTAATATTTGATCGTTTGATCGTAAAATAACAACTTTAATAAACTTTTGTTCGAACTTGTATTGCATTTGTTGTATATACAGAAAAGTATAAAAGGGTTTTTACTATCTATCTCTCTTTCTCTTTCTCCTGTCACGTTTCATACGAATTTTTCTCGAAGCTTTGAATAGAGAAAAGATATAGAGAACTCGATTGATCTTTTGTTCCACTTCTCAGAACGTTTTCAATGGCGTAGCAGCGTCAGTTATTATATGTGTTGGTACACGATGATGGGTGTTCAAGAACTAGCCAACTTTGGTGAATCCTGCGACAATTTCGCCAACTGTCTCGACGAATACGGTCCAAATAATAAGGATCCAAGAGCCGACGATGCAAAACCTTTCGCTTGTGCACTCTACAGCTTCTGTCCAGATCACTGTTGTCCCATGAAACACATCTGGCACATGAAAGATTGTTTCCAGTCGATGCAGAATCCTTGCTATGCCGTGAACCTTCTAGGTATTTCCTAATTCAAACTACTATTTCATTTTCTAACCCCTTCCTTTTCTTCTTCTTCTACGTATGTGATTTTTAAATAATAATAGACATAAATTAAACTAATAAATATAAATGCACATTTATCATTTGACAAAGGAGGACGATGAATTTTATAATTTAAAACAATCCACGATTATTGATACTAGATTTATAAATAGAACAAATTTGACTTTCATTTCAAACTATTTATCCCTTCATTCGAACAATGTTTTTGTAAACTATTAAAAAATAATGAACGCGAAACATCCGTAATATATAAATATTAAATAAGTGAATAAAATTGGGGAAGAATATTATTAAAATCTAATAATATAATTACTATATATAATATATATAATATTAATTTAATTAATATATAATTTTCATTTAATAATAACATTGTATACCACACAGGTTGAAAAAAAGATATTAAAAAAAAAGAAAAAAAAAAATTAGAACAATGAAAGAGATCGATGTAGGCGATATTTGAAATGATATAAAAAGAAACAAAAGATTTTGATTTTGTCGTAAAAATAAAAAGAGAATAAAATAAAAACTTAAAGTTGACTGATTTTGACAGAAGGCCGAGAGTGCTGGTTGGATCGTGAAAAGAATCGAGATTTCTTTTCTCTTAGAACGAATCGAATAAACGTGAGCTGCGAGTGTCCGGAAACTGGTTACGAGTGGTCTTCGAGGTTCGGTCTATGCGTCGACGTAAACGAGTGCACCCGTGGGATGCACAATTGCACGTACGAGGACGGCGAGAGCTGCATTAATCTGCCCGGTCATTTCGACTGCATCTGCCGTTACGGTTACGTGTACAGCTTGAACAAGGCCCGATGCGTTCTGAGCATACCGATCAAAAATGCATTAAGAGTTGAAACGATCGAACCGAATGTCACGAAGATGAGTTTTCTCGATAGGATCGTTTACGTCATTGGTCCACCACCACCTGCCTCCTCCTCCTCCTCCTCCTCCTCCTCCTTCTCGTCCTCCTCCACTAACTTTTCTATCCCCACTTTCATGATTTCTAACCTACCATTTAATACCATCCTTTCTTTATCGCTTACTTTTACGATGGTTCATACGTACTTTTCTTTCTACTTTTTTTATCGATTACATTGCAATTTAAAAAGTACGATGTTGTTACTTTAACACTAAATCTACTTATAACTAAACATTATTTCTTTTTCTTTTTTATTATTATTGATTGTGTAGATGATAATCTATTTGATACTTATATCAA